ACAGGAAGTGACCGTAAACAATTGAATACGTCAATCCATCCTAATTTATGTCGTATACTAACATACCAAATCTCGTTTTTTTATCTACAGAAATAAAAAAGTTATAGGGGTGAGTCACTTTTGAGACGCACCCGGTATATTATGTTTTTTAAGACAAAAATAGAGCTTAAGGTGAGTAAAAATGTAATTTTTCGTGAAATAAAAGAGAAAAATGTTCTAACCTCAAAATATTTTTTTGAGGTAAGATGCGGTTTTTTTTCTGTTAAAAATAAATGGTTATAGATACGTTGTTTTATTTATTATATTTATATATTTAAATTTCTGGTAAAAATGTAAATTTTAAGAATAAAGAGCACAAGATTATTATTTTTGCTATAATAATTGAGAAAAAAAAATCAACTGTATACTTGCTTTCAGAATATCTAATCTATCATTAAATAATATCGGACTTTTCGATTTATGCTCTGAAAATTCAAGTTAAATTTGCCAAACGCATACTTCATTACTATATCATTTTGGGGCAAGCAATTCCATTTCTCGAAATGATGTAGCCAGATCTTTTCGAGACAAAATATATATTTGATCAATTTAAGCAATTCTGATCAAGAATTCCATGCTCTACATTTAAAAAGATATCTATTTGAGTATATTCAAATCTAACATATGCTCAAGGTTAATAACATTAAAACATGTATTTTCTTTTTTGTATTTTCTTGCCTATGTAGGAACATGGAATTCCTAAAGTTGAACAGGAGCCTATATGAATAGGATCCAGTAAAGTTGAATAGGAATGTGTCACATAATAGAAATTCCTATTATGGTAATATCTATTTCAACTGCAAAGCGGTGACATACTAAACAATATTGAATAGAAATTGAAATTGAAATAATAGAAAACAATTTAGAAATATATTGAAATACAATAGAAAATACTATATCATAATAAAATTTACTGCATTATCACTGTTATTTTTTTTTTAATAATTAATTTAACTTAACCACAATGGTGTTATTTTAAAAAACGAAAATGTAATAGCAATACAGTGCTAGCATCTACAAATGCCTGAGCAATACATTTATTTATATTGTATTGGATAAGAAAAAGCATTTAATTTTCGGTTTGGGAGCCGATCGGTTCTTTCATAGTAATTTTTTCATAACTGATTTAAAAAAAAAATAAATAAATTACCAAGATTGAATCACATTTATTCAAAATACGCACCAAGAAATAATTCTAAATAAATTTTGAAACAGAAAAATAAGTATTTTTAGAGCAGTATTGAAATTTATTTTCCAAAAGTACCATACTAAACCGTGTGAAAGCAATAACGTATCGATTTCAATCGTATAGTACGCTGAGGTACCTTCCATACTCGCGAAATTCTCAAAGGGACGACAGATTCTTTCCCCCGCATTCATCCTCTAACGACAAAAATTATTGCACAAAAAAAATCGCCTCGACGTCTCTTCTGATCTAAATACATGATTGTGCATCACGACCGTCAATGTATATAAGAGGAGGATCGTCTTCCGAAGATTCATTCAGCGGTTGACAATTCTTTAGATACATACATACATTACATATAGTTAGTTAGTAGTTAGTGGTATATGGAATTAGCTTTATTCAATCTGGTATAGTGCAAAAATATAAGTGCAAAAGATGGAAAAAGTAAGTTCAACTTCTAAGAAGCTCCAAAAAAAACTTTAATGTCTTTTTTTTCTGCATAAGCATCTGTACTTTTTCATTATTTATTATATTAGAAAATAATTACAGTTAGAGGTTGGAACCTTTGGTGTTACAGCAAAATTAAACACTAATTTACCACAATATACAAAAACACTTTACTTTTGCACTGGAGACGCATTTCGCTAACTAAGTTAGAATTATCAGCAGATGACTAAAACTGAAGAAAAGTACTGAGATTTAATCATCTGCTGGTGATGCTAACATGGTTGACGAAATGCGCGTCTAGTGGAAGAGTAACAAATAATACCATAATATAGTCATTACAGCAGTTTCAAACATTAGTTGACAATGTACCTAGACAAATATTGTTTTTTTATGTTGTGTATATTACTTACTTTGAAGATGCAACTAAGTCCAGCTGGTATTAAAATTTTCAGCACAAAAATAGTTATTTCAAGTAGATTTAATATAAAAGCAACAACTTTTATATTTCCAACAACTTTGTCGTTTTAATAACCTACTTCAAATATATTCATTAATGTTATTTCTTCCACAAATCCTATAATTTCTAAAGATTGACATTAACTATAAAAAATGGTTTAACTTCAATTTCAAAACTTTACAATTTCCCAACTTCTTTATTGAAGTTTCTTTATTCTACTGTAACTTTTTTGCATCCAAATATTCTATATTGACTTGTATCTCAATCCAAGTAAAGCAACTAAGATATTTCCAGAATAACAAAAATAAAAAACACTTCAGTTATTTCTTATTCCAACTTACCAAAAGTAAATTTTCATTCCTGCATTCATTTTCTTACGACAAAAATTATTGCACAAAAAAATCGTATCAACGTCTCTTCTGATCTAAATACATGATTGTGCATCACGACCGTTAATGCATATAAGAGGAAGATCGGCTTCCAAAGCTTCATTCAGCGCTTGACGATTATTTAGATACATACACACATTGCAAATAGTTAGTTAGTAGTTAGTGGTAAATGGAATTAATTTACTCAATCTGGTATAGTGCAAAAACGTAACTTCAAAAGATGGAACAAGTAAGATGTACTTCTAAGAAACTAAATATACAAGAAAATCTTAAACTTGTTTTTTTGCTTACATTATCTAATACCATCACAGAGTCATTACAACAGTATCGAACATTAGTCGAGAATATAGACAAATATATTAATAATAATTATATTGTGAATATTACTTTCTTTGAAAATATAACTAGGTCCAGTTGGTACTAAATTTCCAGTATCCAGTAGTAATTTCAAGTATTATTATTTACTACAAAAGTTACCTTATTTAATTTGAATCAGGCTTTACATCTTAACAAACATAACCAAATAAAATTCTGATTTATTCTTTATTTTCTCATTATCACAAAGAGATAACATTATACAATATAAATAAAAAAAACTTAATAAAATAGCTCCCGCTATATAGCGTTAATGCCGTTGGAGTAAGGCAAGCATGCAGCTTGCCATGCAGAGCCGTTCGGTATACAGGAAGGTAATGTAGGCATAGCATTACGCTTCAACCGCCTATTTTATTACCTCAGGATTGTCACAATCCCAAGTACTCATTAAGGCTGAGTCGACCAAGTACCATGACTAAATTTATTTTATTAAAATAGTCTGCTGATGAAATACCGGCTGTAGGAGCCGGAAAACACTACAAACTTAGTAAGAGCTGATAAGCCTCCTACGCCCCGGGCACATATTTAAAAACTCCCATACTCATAAATTCGTTGAAATGTTTAAGTATTGTAACCTTTTCAATTAAATCATTTGAGCTAAACTGTAGATTCGATTTATTTCACAATTGGATTTTTTTTATGAAATAAAAAAGAAAAAACAATTTAAAAAAATATATACTATTACTGATACTATTTTTTCGTTATAGCCATTATTTAGTTAAAACATTATTAAATAATTACAAGTAAACTGTTCGCATAACAATGGTAGACGACATCTACAAATCACAGAACCCCCCCCGCACTCTATCTAAATAAATTGTCTCATAAAGACAATGATTCAGTGTAGTTAGCAAATATTAATCGTCTAATAGTACGACATACTCAAAATGGTATGCTAGTCATTGAGCTCTAATACCAACATTCGTAATAAGATACATAAATCGGATTAAGATAATATTTTTTAAATTAAGAATTTAATTAGAAAAAATTTGTATATGACCATAAGATCGAAAAAAAGATCGGTGAAAAGAAAGAAACTCAAAAATAATATAAAATATATAATAAAATTCACAACCCACATTTCAACCAAGCCAATTGGACGCGGTTTTTTTTTTTTTTTTTTTTTTTTTTTTTTTTTTTTTTTTTTTTTTATTTATAAAATAAACTTTATAATGAAAACTTTTTAACTGTTCTAACTTTAGCCATATATACATTAATACTTTTCTATGCCAATAGCTGATACCATGAAGAAATATCACTTGTTAAAAATAATTTCATATTTCAAATTCTGCAGATACTTATTAAGATTACAGTTGGGGAGTTTGGAACCTTGTGGTGTTAGAGACATCAAAATAAAACTAAATTTTAAACACGCCAAGTATTCTAGTTTAGTTCAAAAAAATCAAATCATGTAATCTTCAACACCTCTTATGCGTTATGTTTGGTACCCAGGGTGATAAGTTGCGATGGTAGGATGTTTCGCGCGTCCCAGGGAGTAAATCTAACAAAGGAATTAACGTAATCAGAATTTTAAATTTAAAATGGAAATTCTTTCTTCATTCATTTCTCGGCATTTTTTTTCTTTATTTTTAAATATTAAGTAGTAATACCTGTTGTATACGTTACATTACATCAAAAGAAAGGAATGTTGTTACAAGAGTTTACTTTAAATATCGCCTAATTTACGAATTGTTCTTCAGGAATATTATTGTACGGTATGCCACTAATCCTGATTTTATTTTACAAATCTCTGTTGCTAATGACATTTTAGCATAAAAAATATTAATCTAATTTAAACTTGTTAAAGTGTGGATTTTAAAAATGTTGTAACCTTAAATAAAGCAATTTAGAGATGTGCAGAAGAAAATTGTTAAATATTTTATCATAATAACAAAACAAGATTAAAAAAATGTCCACTGTATTCATAATAGCATATATTATAATTCTAGTAATCTTGTATATCAAATTAAATTTTATTAATAAAAAAAATTGTATATAACATTATTATTTTTTTCTAATTATACCCTGTCTTTTGTTGGTTTGGACCGCTGTCCGAAACAACACGAACCAAGTTAATTCATATTTAACCGCCAAACGACGGAAAGGAATGTGGAATGGAAACGGAAGTAAGATATAACAAATGTTGTGTTATCGCTGTATCTATTTTATTTTCTCCCTCTATTTACGAATAGATGGCGGCCCAAGCTCGAGATATGGACCACCAGGCTACCAACCAGGTATTCCATTGGGGAACGGAAATGGAAACGGCAACGGAAACGGAAATGGTAATGGATATAATGGAGGACCTCCGGCTCCTGTTTATGGAGCTCCAGCAAATGAAACGGTACGATATTTTAATGAAAAAAGGTATTAATGTTTTGTCTAAACGCTGGTTTTGTATTGATCACCGAGTTTAGCGACCCTAGACGATGGTGAAGTTTGAACTCTCACATCGTAGATCTGTTGTTTCCTATGTAAAAGTGTCAACTATATTTTGACACAATATCTATTCACACTGGTTAGAGGCCGTATGAGATCGATATTTTGAAAACTAAAATTTAAAATAAATAGAAAACAATCTTCGAGTGATTTACAACATTTAAACTCAAGAAACATCTGAACCGTAGTTTAAATGATCTCTTCATTCAAGAGCATTTGTTGTGGATCTTTTACCCTAAACAGAAAACTATTAAATTTATTTTAATTTACCTCTTTGGTATTTATACAGAAAATAAATTTAAATAGAATTTAATCCAGAAAAGATATCTGAAATGTATAAGAAAAATTGAATAGAAAGTCAACAATGACAAATAACAATAACTGTCAAGTCGATTGATCACAATCTATCCAGATTATTCGATCAATCTGTCATCCGTAGGTACCACAGAGTTTCTCAGACTCCTACAAAGTTCCCTTTTAAATAACTGATGATTTTTTTTATTTGTTTTTCAAATCCGTTTAATATCGAACTAATTTAAATTAAGAACACGTAAATGTTTAGACACAATATAGACTCATATCTTAAAAAGTTATACTTGTTTTAAAGTGTATATTGGTAATTTTAATTCTAAAAAATAAGTAACAACTAAAATCAAATATGCACTTAAAAATTAAGTCCAAACATTATTTCAGGAAATGGTAATGGCAACGGTAATGGTTATGACGTAGACAGTGATCAGCAGCCTGGTACCAGTTACCTTCCTCTGAAAAAAAAAAATGGAAAACTTTTTTTTTAATAAAAATAATTACTTACCACCAGCCATGAGCTATGAACCTTCTACATCATATGGCGTACCAAATGGTAAGTAAATGATTTTCGAATGTATACCACAAGAAGTTTCGGGATTACGAAAAAAATAGAAAAACTTTTTTTTACTGAAACAAAATGCGTTACCCGGCAACACTACCACTCCGAAGGAGGAGTAGTGTTGCCGATATCGTATTGAGTGTCAGGCAAAAGTATTATGTAATCCGGAATCATCAAGTTTTCAAAAGATTATACAACAATAAAGTACAAACATCCTTCCTTATTTAAAACATTTGCCAAATTTTGTAATAAGAATTGACGGGATATTTGTGGAACTGAATAGAATGATTCTGAATTAAATTTTCAAAAAAGATGACAATTACAGTATGGCCACCAAGCGATAATAACTTAAATTGAAATCACTTATTGCAATAACAATAACTTCTATATTATATACCAAGGGTGTTTCAAAACAAATGCGAAAAACTTCGGGGGGCGATCTTGTTCAAAATAAAAGTAGTTGCTTCATAAACGTTGGTCAAAAGTCAACCATTATACCAGGGAGATATCGCGGTACAAGATGGCGGAGAAAATAATGTTTGTCTATTTTTATCTGAAAACGAAAATAAATAGACCTAATGAAATTTTATGGAAGCAATTACTGGTATGAAAACACACTTACTTTTATTTTTTGTAATTTTTTTTTTTTTTTTTTTTTATCAAAAAAATACACAAGAGATAAAAAAGTTTCTAAACAAACTAAACTATCTAAATGATTTTTTTTGCATAAATTTTATAAGATTTTTTTAAATTTCGTTAACAAGAAATGATAGGGTAGTTTATCTTCAACCACTTCCATCATTTTTAAAAAAGTGAAAACATTAACAGAAAGTGTGTTTTTCATAACAGTAATGCTTCACTCAATTCATTAGTCTATCTCTTTTCGTTTCAAGATAAATAGATAAAAACAATTAATTTTTGCCGCTCTTTGTAGCGCGATATCTCCCTAATGTTTGACTTTTGACCCACGTTAATGAAATAAACTACCTTTTACTTTGAACAAGGAATCACCCCTGAAGTTTTTCCGCATTTGTTTTGAAAACACCCTGTAATATAGAAAAAATATACATAGAGTTGTGTATAAATCTTATTATTTTTACTAATTATTATTTAATTAAATCTATTTAATAGTAAAAATGAAATGGTAAACAATGGGCAACGGTAATGGCAAACGGTATACTCGAAGGAAATGGAAGAAATCATTGCCTCCCAAGGCATGGTAACGGTAACGGCAGATGCAAGGTAATGGCCGTCTAAACAACATAGAGTTCCCCGATGGTAAAAATGAAATGGAAATGGAAACGGAAACGGAAACGGAAACGGTATAACCATTTTCTTTGTTTTAATATAAATCGGTAAACTAGCTGACCTAATATATGATTTATAATAAATTATAATATTTATTTTTTTTTTTTTTTTTTTTTTTTTTTTTTTTTTTTTTTAGATATATTTTGGTTTAAATATTGTATATTTATTAGTACTGACATCTTTGCTAAAGAGTAAGTAATATGTATTCAGAAATGTATATAACATATGCGATCATTAGTTTTTGGCCAGTTCAGTATAGAGAATTTAAAAACAATATATAAAGATCAATTTAAAAATTTAGAAGTTTAAAAACAAGAAAAAAATATATACAAAAAATATTCCATTTTGATTTTGCCAACTCTACTTGCAAAATAATCATTTCAACTTCACTGATCTCAGTATATAAATAGTCTAGAGTAACCAAGGTTAAGTCAAAATGTTACCATTAATATCAGAAGTCGCAGTAAGAAAGCTGACCAGCTACAATCCGAAAAAGATAACTAATCTATCCAATGAATTAAATTAGTTAATCTAAAATATTATTAATATTTTCAAATTAAGATTTTAAAACACAATTTTTTTTATTTATATAGGTATGGCAAACACGCAAACCAGTATATGGTGTCCCTACAAATGGAAACGGCAACGGCAACGGAAACGGATACTCTAACGGCAACGGCAATGGCAACGGTAGTCAATAAATATATTAATAATTTAACCCAATAATTGAATTTTACATAATTTAATACAGGATATAGCAGACCAAGTTCAACATATGGTGTTCCAAACGGTAACGGAAATGGAAATGGCAATGGCAATGGTAAATATATAAAATCCTTTTTAAATAAAACCTAATTTTAATAAGGAATATAATACTAGGAAATGGAAAACCTAAACCAACATATGGAGTACCCAACGGAAACGGTAATGGAAACGGTTATGCCAATGGAAACGGCAACGGAAATGGATACGCTGCGAATGGAGGTTATGCTAATGGAGCGCCAGAAGAAAGTACTGTAAGTAATTTCTTTAAAACTTATGAATATTGTCCAAAGAATGCTTCTGCGTATTTCTATACTCGCACTGTAAGAAAATCAACAAAATAAAATAGCTTTTTCCATAGCAACTGTTAAAATTGTCTTATATCTATCAAAAATGGTAGATAAAATAGTACTTTAACCCCAAGTGTAAATAAAATGATACTTTAACAGCGAGGATAGATTAAAACTTTATTTCTTCTCGCACGTTTTTTAATTGCTTCCATTTTTTGAAAATTTTTGTATTCCTTTTCATAAGTTATTCGAGATTTAAATGGTCAGCCTGAATATCTGTTGGTAATTTACTTATTTCGTTTTGAGCCATTTTTGGCTCCAATTCAAGCAGCAATCGACACGAAAAAGAATTAAAAAATATTGACTCAAAACTAACAACTAAAGAGACAGCTTTATTTATTTGTCAAATTACATAGAAACCAACGCCAACCCAGCACAATCTTTTTTCTACTCGTAATAAATTCCTTGAAATAATAATTTCTGAATATTTTTTAAAACGTAACTCGCTATGGAAAAAAAAAATATTTTCTACACGACAATAAAATTGCATTATCGTCTTGTATAAAAAATAAGTATATTTTTGTTAATACCAGTGCATGACCAATGTTGACATGGGTATTTTACTAATAAAACAAATTTGCCTAACGAACAAAAAAATGCTTAACGTTTCAGGAGGTTATATCTCCTCCTGTCATGGGAAGCAAAAAAACAAAGAACAAAGAAACAATAACTTAAAATATCTAACTACCACTATTCAAGAACACTTTAGTTTTTTTTAACAGATACGTCTATTAAAAACCGCTGACGTTCTGTTAAAATTACATATTAAGTTCACTTCAAAATTAACAATTACCTACTACCTGATAACAATTAATTACTTAAGGTAAAACCAAAAAGCTTCAATCTTTCTGTATATGATATACCGTATGATCGAAAAAAAAAACGGCGTCAACGATGGCTATAAAATGTATATCGTTGTCATTTTATATATAAATTTATATAGGAAATGTCATCGATCGCCATTTCCCAGCCAACTGCACGCCGTTTTTTTTCGATCATACGGTAAGATGTTATGTTTATTAAAATTAAGGAGGCAGCGATAGCCATACAATTACTAACTTCTACAGCTGCCTGAGCGATACTTTTGTTTATATTAAACTGTATTAAAAAATCCTCATTTATTTTTCGCTTAGAGACTATCATCGTTAATAAAATTACCTCCAAAATAAACAATTACTACCTGGTAATAATTACTTTTACAATTACTTATTTTAGTTTGTATGAATATTGGTCTATATATTTTTTTCTAATTTAAAATATTTTTGTCTGGAAAGTAAACGATACAAATTCAAATTAGAATTTCTTTACATTGCATCTTAACTCTAATATTTTAACCCGTTAATTTGAAAGTATACAATTATTATTTAAATGTAATTTGTACTAAATAGGAACCTGCGAAATACCAATTCGAGTATCAAGTAAGCGATCCAGAATCAGGAAACGAATTTGGGCACAAGGAGGAAAGAGACGGAGATTTCACTACCGGCGAGTACAACGTCCTTCTTCCTGATGGTAGAAAGCAAATTGTAACGTACGAAGCCGACTTGGATGGGTACAAACCGGTAGTCACTTATGAAGGTAACTAATGAACTAAAATTGAACATACACTTAAACTTCAGCCGATATTATTTATGGCTTCAGTGTTAAAAAATTATGAATTGCTCTTTTTAAACTTACAACTTTCTTTTCATAAAGAAAAAAATCTCCAAATTAAGTTTTTACTTCTTTCCCTTCTTTCCAAGCTATTTGAACTAACACTTGGTTTTTAGTTTTCTAGACATATTCAGCTTTTAAAGTGTCAGAGCCATACAGTAAAATACTTAAAATACTTACTTTTTTGTTGTTTTATCTGCTAATGTACTAATTCTAATTTTTATTTTTAATATTTTTAATGTACATTTCTCTACTAAATGGGCTCAGTAGGTAGGTAGTTTTATACCGCATATTGCATGTGAATAATATATTTACTTCATATTATCCACTGTAAACATTCCTAAAAATAGCAAAAAGTCCTTAAGATAATTTATTGAATTGTTTTGCTATTACATTTCTTACTGTAAATATTCAGAGGTATTTTCCTCTATTCCTGTAATTACTAAACTCAAATTCGATTAGTAGTTTGCTTTAATTCATATCTTTTAATTAATCTTAATTTATATCTAGGCACTTAATTCATATCTTTTAATTATCTTAATTTATATCTAGGCACCTATATACTAGCAGCAGGTGCCTAGTAGTGCAGATACGATTGTTCTTCTCTGGTGCAGAGGTACAGCAGTCGTTTGAATATCCAGTCGAATCAACATTAAATAAATACTTGTTATATTCACAATTCTAAGATAACAATTATTGTTGGCTGAAGCGTAGTATTAGCAGTATCTACCTAATGTACTTACGGCTCTACTATATCAAGTTATACCTTGCTACTCCTAGTGCGTGTGAATAGTATACATATGAGAAACTACTATGACAAACAAATACTGCCTTTATCAATTTTTAACAACTTTTCGTAACCTTCTTATTGGTTTCAATAATACTATTTTGGAATCCAGATTAGAGTAACACTATTATGTTATTTCAACGATTTCAGAAGCTGCAATCTGAGGAATTTTGGTTTTTGACAAATTCTACTTTTCCATATTGGTTAAAAGTTAATCTGATTAAAATACCTGTTATTCTGATTATACTATTAAATGGTTTATTTTTTGAGTATTTCGCGTAAAATTAACTATCGGCAAAAATATCTTAGTTGCAACGTGGGACATTTTGATTTTTGACAAAATTTGCTGAGTATCTCTTCTATTTTTTTTTTCAAAAAAAAATATTTTGCTTCAATTAAAATATGTTGTAGTACTAACCGCCTACTTACTACGACTCATTTTCTGATTAACAGTGAGTACTAGAATTCTTATGTTTTTAATGTATATCTGTCTTAAAAATTTATAAAGATATTCTTGTACCAACAAAATAAACTTTAATGTAACTTAGAACAGTGGAATAAATTAGGCGTGGCGACCAAACCAACCAATATTTGATGGTGCTACCTACAGTTTTTATTACAGCTATTTATTTAAAAAAAAATTTGTTTGTTTCTTTTGTTTGTTTTTTAATATAATTCATATCTTCTAAGGTGGCAATGGAAATGGAAACGGTAATGGAAACGGATACTCCTATCCCAACGGCAATGGAAACGGTAACGGAAACGGATACTCTTATCCAAATGGCAATGGAAACGGAAATGGAAACGGATACAGCAACGGAAACGGCAATGGCGGTAATGGAAACGGCAATGGCAACGGATATCCCGGGAGTAACGGAAACGGATACTCGTACTGATTGCAGTTTATTTTCCAATCTAGTAATAAATATTGCAAAGGATGCGGGTATTTGTCTAATGGAGTGATGAGGACTGACAAATATATTAGTATCTTTTCCTAAAAATGCCAAGGATTTCAACTTAACTCTCACCTATATCTATAACTCTTACCTAGTCTTAAAAATATTATTTTTCAACAGATATGTACACAAATCGATATACTTACAATATATCTGTTTAAAAATAATTCTATTTGTCACCGCCACTAACTGCATTAGCGTTATACTTATTTAGTTTTTAATTTTTAATTTTGTATTATATTACTATAATTTCATTTATATGTGTTTAGTTTTAGTATTACTTTACACACATTTGTACTACGACCATTCTTTCAGTATTTATTTCATTTGTGTAATCATTTTATAGTGTTATTTGCCTATGATGTCAATCGACTGATGACGACTGCTATGATAAGGACCTGATCATTAAATCGTGTTCAATTATTATTTGCGGACACTGTATATATTCTGTAATGTAAAAGTAAATCTTTTACGTATCTAGTATTTATTTATTTTTAAATAAATGCTGTTTGTATGATATCTGAAGTTTTAATTTTTACTATTCAACTATTATTGGTATATCTAGCTGAAAAAATTTTAAACTTAAACTATAAACTGCCACAAATAACGATCATATTATAATTTAAAATAGGAAATTTGATATAATAATAATTTCTAATGTGATAAATTTTAACTTGAATGCCAATCATATACTCTACAGAGACATATGGGTGGTTAATTCATTTATGGCGAGTTTACAATATAAAATAAATTATCTGTGTATAAAAATACAAATCTGACTTGTGCATAGAATGGTATAATACTTTAATTAAAAAAATATATATATTTAATTGATGTATGAGAATATTATAAGTATAATTGGAAAACAAATTTGCACACTTATGCATTATGTTAAATATGGGAAAACATGTTATAATATAATCGAGAAACATTACTAATCAAATGATCAATAATTTGCGAAACATGTCTGTAAAATAAAGCAATTTACTGACAATTAGTTGAAACTAGAGCGGCTCATGTTTTTATTTGCATATGTTACATATTTAAAGATATTTTTAAGGATATTTAAGGATTTAAGGCGGTTTTATTTTATCCTTGGACATACTAAAAGTTCCTATCGTTTCTAGGAGCTTTGCAAATTTCCTAGGTTGTACTATATAATATGACCTGATCCTTTTAATATAGACTAGAATGGTCTGATTTGTATTAGGACATATTTGATTTGAAATGGCCTTATTGAACTATTTTGCATCTAGTGGTTTCAATAGACAATAATACTATTTCTGTTGATTCTACATCATGTATCATACCCCGTCTTGTAAAATATGACACAATTAACGTGGAAATAAACCTTTATGAAGAAAACGTTGGAAAGGGAAACTGAAACCTCGTCATGTGTAAATGTATTGACATATGATGATCAATATAGGAATTTCATTGATACAATAATTCAAAATGCCGCAAAACGAATTCTTGCTGAAACCAATAAATGTTGTTTAGTTGCTATCTTTTAATGAAAAAGTGCACCTTTTGTTTTATAAAAACTGCGTTATTTCTTAGGTAAAAATATTGCAATTCAGTTTACATCGAAGTTTACTCGTATTTATATCGAGGTAACTTTGACCTCGTAAAAATTGTGGATTTTGAAAAACTTTTTGCTTGGCTTTATCCTTCGACTTCTAAAACACATACAAATTTAAAATATCCATTTTTCAATACCAACTTGGCGTCAAATTTTTATTATTTAATACAAAATAGAGTGACTTCTGGTCTTCTGGGTTGAAGTTTTCCATAAAGCAGGTCAAATCTGATATTTCCTAAGACAAATCAGACCATTCTAGTTTGTCGTAAAAAGTATCAGGCCATACCAGTATGGCCTAGGAAATTTGCAAAGTTCCTATTAATATAGATAGGACGCTAAAAAGATGTTCAGTTCAGAGTTCACATTATCAAGTTCACTTAACGGTCAGTGATACTTCTGGCCGAAACGTTGTGTAAACATAATAAATAAAGACAATGAAAGTCCGAAAGTCTTTTTGTTTCAATACTGAATCATTGTCTACCACATTCAAAATAAATATAGATATGAATTGTTGGTAGGTCCTAGCCAACAAACTAAAACGGCTTAAAATCAGATATTTCCTAAAACATATAAAATGCGTGTTATACCTATATCTAATCCAAAATGGTTTCCAGCTTGGAACAAAAATTTAATTATTAATAAAATTATTCTAAATATTCTTGATTCGGTTGTGCGATAAAATAATTATCTGGATGGCATGGTGTAAATTTTACAAAAAGCTCCAGAACATGTAAAAATTAATAGGATAAGAAAACAGAATTATAAAATAAATTTGCGTTCACCTAAGACAAAAAAGCAGTCCTAATTTTAAGAGTTTTATTATTTCTGAGACCCATAAAAGCGTTAGTCAGAAAATAATGCCCTGAGGGTTACAAGAAACATCTCCTTTGGCTCCTCGCCTTTGGCCTAAGAGATATTTTTACACGATGAGCATTATCGTATTACTAACATTGGTAGTGCATGCAAAATTTCATAATTAAATATATTTCCATCCTTTTTGGATAATTTTTATTACAAAATCATTTAAGAAAATGATTAAAGCTGTACTATATTATGTATTATGTCTGTGCTTTGTTCTATCAAAGTTTGCCAGGGACTTTTATTATGCCCTGTGATATTGTCATAATGCCCATGTATTATATGTTTGCTTAAGTATTAGGAAGTTAATTATAATAATATTTCAAAAATAATAATTGTTAGATTATTATATACATAATTAATTTAACCATTATTATTAAGAAATTACGCATAAAGCTGAAATAGTGGAAAAGTAAAAAAGTATTATTCGAAAGAATCACATTCTTTTTTATATTTATAAAAAAAGCAAAGTGTAAATAATTCAGTTATTATTGGATTGTTTTTTTTTTATTTTTATATTTAGTATAATTATTATTAGTAATAATAGCTTTTAGTCATTTAAGTCATTTAGATTAAATTATTTCTTACTTCTTAATGTATTAAGCTCTTTTTTCGATGTTTTGATGTTTTTTATTAACTGGCAATTGACAACAATGGAGGGGGGGGGCTATTTATCTAAATTAAATCATAGATTCTATTTTTTTTTGTTAATTCTCTTTAAACCATTTTAATTCTATACAACAAAAAAAAAATAAACCGGTGCGCCATATTTAAAAAATCTGTTTTTAAATAATATTCCATATTATAAATATGTGACTGTGATTTGTGTGTAATAATTTAGTACAAACTTTTTTAAATAGGTAACAGTTTTGCTATAAGAATGAGTTATGTCTATTTTAACAGTTACGCTAATTATAAATACACTGGTGTAATATGTATTTCATTAGGATTTATGGAAGTAATATTATTTTTTATATTAACTTACTGTGCCCTGATCTTTGCATTACAAATAATCATTCATCATAATCTTATTAGTTAGAAAACTAACCAAGAGTGCAAGTAGCCAATATTTTAAAATTTGCATCAGAAATCAATCCAAATTTGTTTGGGATATTCTTGAATCGAATATGTATATAATAATGTGTGGATAAATGTTATATTTTGCACCATAAAAAATAGGTTGTTTAAAAGTATTGGTTAAAAATGAACAAGTTAAAATAAATATTATAATAACATTTATATCCAAGAGTTAAGCCATAAATGGTAATAAATAAAAAAAATATGTATAATATATAATATACTGGTTAAATAGTTTCAAAATCAAGAATTATGACGAAGAAGAATTTGTAATATATATTCCGCAAAATATGTGACACCGGGAGAACTATGTAATAATAAAAAGTTAGGATAGCTATAATGACCATCAACCTCCAAAGGAGATTACTGCAAAAAAAAAAGAATTCAATACCAAGCAAATTTGATTTTTTGTTGAAGAAGATACAATTTATTGTCACTGAGGCTTATTTCATATTTGAGACACTGGATATTAATAGATTGAAATCTATATAATAACGATTTATATACATATAATCTAACTAAGACAGAGAAGCAAAGTTTGTGTCATTCATATTAATATCTACAGACGCAGAATAAAAATTTTATAAATTTCTATTAAACAGAAATATTTTTGTTGTTCTTGTATCGTGTCCACCATTGAAAAGTGATTGAGCTAAAAAGTAAAAATATGTTTCTGATTTCTGTCAAAAAAAATTATTCATATATAGTTCGTTTAAAAAAGAAAAGCAAATATAAACAAAAATAAACAGTGCCTAACATAGTATTTAAAAATTGATATCTAAAGTTTAGAAGAAAAACTGCAGTATAATTTATTAAAAATTTAATATAATTTTTAATAGTTGACAAAGTTGATATTTAGAAGAAAATTAAAACTAGAGTTAACTAGAAAATATTGGTATTCATATTATATGTGTAAATAAATTAATAAAAGAACCAATATACCCCTATTGTTATAGTTTATCTATATTTAACTTCGTATTTAACAATAAAAATAGCAGTTCTAGTGCCAACTGTCGGTAAATGTTTAGACCTACTTTTTTCTAGTAAAACAGGTTTATTCTAAAAGATGTCGCTAGGTAACATTCAATGATTCAAAACAAAGAATATTTTAATTTTAAAAGCATGATTTATTTGGAGTATATTATTAATAAGAGACTAGTTCATTTTTGTTTCCTGGAAATATAAAGTTATACAGGGTCCGGCAATAGTGCGTCGTGCGTCGGGCATCTGTAGCTCCTAGAATAAAAAACTTGGGAATTTTGTTTAAGTGCATTACCCAAAGTTTGTACTAGGATGTATTTCAGGAAAATATTTTAACTTCTATAGGGTGGCTCAAAAAAATGTGAGTGGATCGGGATGATTTTTTTTAAACGGAACACCCTGTATATTTTTGCATTTTTGGCTTCCTTTCAGATAACTTCACATAATCCTAAGACATGAGTAAATATATTTCGATATTTTCAGAGCTATTAACAAATAAATAAAAATTATATATTTTTGAGCCCTTCTTAAAAAAATTATTAATAATACAAGAACTGTCCTGAAATCAAAACTGTTATAGATA